GGGAGGGACTTCCCCAGTCTCCACAGCTTCTTTCCCATACATGGGCTCCCCACTGGCAGCATCAGCCCCCCCCACCCTGCAGCCTGAGCCCTCCCCAGAGGAGACATTGACATCAGATCCCCCTCCCTTAAGCTGATTAGGGCAGCAAGGACACATCTGAGCAGATGTCACCAAGGCCATGAGAGTGACCGGACCCTAGAGGAATGCAGAGGGGGGAGCACAGCACCCCTAGGTCTGGGGGCTGCTCTGATCTCTGGGGTGCAGGGAGAGGGTCTGGGGGCTGCCCCCCCCCTCCGTGGGCCGGATAGTTGCACAGCATCACCCTACGCAGCTGGTCTGATCCCTGCTGTAAGCCTGGCCGCTAACCCTGACACCCTGGACCCCCAGTGGGGGTGGGATGGGGACCACAACACCAAGGGGGCAGAAGCAGGCAGAGGGAAGCCTCTGAGCCCACACCAGCCACCATGAGCACCAGTGGGTCTGTGGATATGTTCCTGAAGCTGGGCAAGCAGTGCTTCGCTGCTCACCCCTGCATCGATGTCACACATAAGCCTGGCTCCACGGCTTGGGACCTCCCCGCTCCTGGCACAGCGCAGCCCAGCAGAGACACCTGCTGCAGGATCTCACTGGGCCCAGTGCATTGCCCTGAGCTGGTTGCACAGCGCTCTGTGGGTCATGAGAGATTTGGCTCCTGGCATCCCAAATTCCCCTGGATGATGGCAGGGTGGCAGACATCCCACCAGGCCAACTGCATCTCCTCTTTGTCTCCAACTGCTGCATCCCCTCGCCAGCCTGGGAGCAAGGTGTGCGGCTTCCCTGGAGGGGTGTCTCAAGAAGCCCAGAGGTTTCCAGCTCTGACCTATGCCTTGGGGGCTGTAAGAGCCAGAGGTGGTGCCGGGAGAAAAGGTGATGCAGCATGGTGGCTGCATCCTCCCCATCCCAGCCCTACAGGTGCTCTGGTTTGGATGGGAGGGGGTTTGTTGGGTGGTTTCCCCTCTCGCCCACCCCCTGCAGACCACAAAAGGACGCAGGTCACAGCACCTCTCTGTTTTATTGAAGACCAATCCCTCCCCCCCAGCCAGCGCAGAGCCACGCACACCCAGCTCTTCTGCATCCACTGGGCCAAAGTCCTGCTTTGGAGGATGGGGGTACCTCCTTGGACCTGGGCGGGGGGGAGAGACCCAGGGCTGCCCCTCAGTGCCTGGGGCTCCCAGCTCTGCTGTCATCCCTTCTCCTGTTCCGCCTCCCACCCAGCCTTGCCCTGGGGGATGTCCCCACCCATGGAGGGTGTCCCACCAAACCCTGCATGCAAGGTGCTAAAGCCTCAGTAAAACTGGAGCGTTAAACTTGGAAGTGACCAGCGGGACATGGGCTCGTGTGCAGGGTGTTGGGGACTGTCCCATTCTGTGGCATGGTCCTTGGGCACTGGGGAGAGGGCAGAGTTGCAGGGGCCAGGCTCTGCTCCCTCCAGGCTCTGGCCTTGCCCAGAGGGCTGGTGGTGCCCCCAAACCTGCCCCTGGTACCTCCAATCCCAGCACCGTGCCCCGGGCAGGAGATAACCCATGCAAGGCACCTGCTCTCCAGACCAAAGCTTCTCCTCAGGTCTGGAGGAGGCAACTGTCAGCAGGAGGTGAAGGAGGGATGGAGGAAAGGAAGGCTTTGGAGATCAAAGGAAGGCATTGGGGGACCAAGGAGCAGCAAGGAGGGTCCCCTTTCCTTGCCCAGTGGGACTCTCACCCCTGGACACAGCTGCCCTGGGGTTCCAGCTCCTGACTTCTCTCTGCAGGGAGAGGGAAGGGCAGGCACAGGCTGGAGGCAGAGCTAAGGATGTTCATGGGGTGGGCAGCACGTTGCAAAGGAAAGGGGGGGAACAGTCCCTGCCAGGAGGAGACCCCATGTTTTTTACTTCCATTCACACCCTGCTTTACTTATCTGCGTCCATTCCCAAGATCATGTATCCCTCCTCACCCTAAATTTAGATGGCTTCTCTCCTCCTGCCACCAACATCAGGGAACCAACCCAGCTACCCTGCAAGCACCCCTCGCCCCCCCCCCCCCAAAGCACTCTCCAAATATAAAAGGGGGCAACTGAGAGCAGAGCAGCATCCCACCCTCCCATCCCTCCCTGCCGAGCTCCCCAGCTCTGCAGCCCCATGCTGCTGGGGACGGGGAGGTCCGCCTGGTGCGGCGGAGCCTCTAATGGTAATGGTTGTTCATGTTGTTGAGGTGGGAGGCTGCCATGGCACTGAACGGGGCAGAGGGCTGGAGCCCGTGCCCGGGGTAGAGGGATGGGCTGGAGCCAGGCCAGTAGGAGAAGCCGGCTGGTGTCACCCCCGAGGTCATGAGGTTGAGTTTGGAGATGCCCGAGAAGGGCAGTGGGGCCAGGTTGCCCTGAAATTTGTAGAGGGTGTGATCGGGGGTGGCTGGCTGGCACACCTGGGCCAGCCCGTGGAAGTCGAACTTGTAGGCGTAGCGCTTGCCGTGGACCTTGGTCATGATGTTCTTGTCGTAGTAGTAGCGCAGCGCCCGGCTCAGCTTGTCGTAATTCATGTTGGGTTTGCTCTTCCGCTCACCCCAGCGCCGCGCCACCTCGTCAGGGTCGATCAGCTTGAATTCCCCGTTCGTGCCTTCCCAGGCGATGCAGTTCAGGTTGGCCCGGTCTGAGAGCAGCTCCAGCA